GGTGGGAGATAAAACGAGTGCTTGCTCCTTGGCAGGTCTGCATACTGTCCTAAGGGGAAAACAAAAGCGATTGGCATATACTGCATGCATTATGGAAACAAGGCATCCAGAAACAAATGGAAATATCTAGCATTTTATAGAACTCCTATTCCTGCATAATACACCACAAACCTCTTCGCAAATAAATTTTGCCATCCCGTCACCCATTCTTTTTGTTATATCCTCAATTGCCTCCTGAAAACTGCAGAATACCACGTGAGATTTTTTGGTCAAATTTTATTTAAATGGATATCAAGTATGCCATTTTGTTTTTTGTTTTTTTGGTTTGACTTTTCCATTAAAGAAGTAAGAAAATGATAGAAAATAACCCTTTTCCAAGCTCCAGAAAAGCTGTAGCAACATGATCAAACTTATCCATGAGAACTTTGTAATCCTGTGTGCCACCTAACACAAAAAGATTAATAAATGAGCAAATGAATTAACATTCTATTTGACAGCTATATGCATAGCATAAATCACCATTACTTATAAGTTGGGTCAGGTTGAACAAAATTTCAGGCAATAAACTGAGATAGATTAGACCTGTTCTCCAGAATTTACAATGGTACACATCCAGGGTAGAACACTTACATGGAAAATGCCAATCACGATTATATATGTGACGATGAAATGCTTTTAGAATAGGCACTTTTACATCTGTTTCTATGCTAGTATCATCCTCTGCAAGAAAAAAAATTCCAACCATCAGAAGAGATCAGAACTGAGAATGCACTACCTTCATATGTAAATGTTAAGAATGGTAGAGGCAAGAAAAAAATTCTAAATATGTAACTGAATGCTCCAAGTAATATTCAGCCCATGAAGATGCACACAAATGAGGAACATATGTTTTTCTCTATATATTAATAACTTAAAAGGACATGACCAAGCAAGCATCCAAGTGCAAATATCTCAGAATTTACAGGAGATAATGTGTTTCTCAGAGATGTTATCAGTAGACTTCAGCTTTCAAAGTACAATTTACAATCATATATTTTTTAACATAAAATTGAGGATGCTTATCAAACAGCTTCATACCAATTCCTCACAGTGACAAATCCACTTTAATATCACAGACATGAATTATCAAGATCTAACAAGAAAAAACCAGATTTGCAACGGGAGGCATTCTAGATAATTCAACACCATGCAAAAACAAATATGAAGAGTCAAATATACTGACAACTTCACTGCAGCTTTGAAATACCAGTTGTTATCTAAAAGCAGCCTTAGAGGCCAACAACTTAAGTAGCTCAGCAGTCATTTCCTTCCACTAGAAGTAAGAGGTCCTAAGTTCGAGTCGCGTGGCATGCGGGTGGGGT